ATTTTGACTTCTAGTCGAGCTGCTGCCATCTTTGATGCTCATGCACCTTTATGCCCGGTATTTTCTCGTACCGTCAGCGTTGATTCAAGATCGATCCAACAAGCTAGAAAAGCGCATGAAAATGATTCCGATAAGAAAAAATCAACAGGTAACTTAGCCAAAGGATAGAAACGAAACTAGTTTGATTGAACATTCACAGCCTGCATGTCATTTCTTCGTCCATTGGATCGCGTATTGATACTTTAATAGAGGTCATTAAAACACTCATACGGTATGATTGTAATGGGCGTTATTGAACGGATCAATAGCTGCATTGCACGTTCCACCAGTATCAATATCATTGAATGAAAGTGTCACCAGGGATGGAACGGATCACCAATCAGTTCTGAATTCAGTACTGAAATAACTTGAATGATTATTTATCACAAGTTTTGCAAGCCTTAGTACTATGAACGAGCGGCTTAAGGCTTGGGGAGTTATCCACATTTGAATTTTAACTGTACATCTTCAGTAACAATTGCTGTCTGCTATAGTGTTAAAGTAATGAACTCCTACCAACTCCCTTGGATCAATACAGTACAAAAAGTCCAATTTTTTAAATCCTCCTATCAACACTGACAAAATGACATTACTGTATAGCAATGACCGAATCAATTCGTTGGTGTGTCGTCCATTCTATCACACTGGAGTCGAAATCGTACATTTCATTCATGCTTCACTATGATGAAAAAAAGTAGTTGGCAAGTCGTAATGACTTTTGCCCGATTATTCAACATCACTAGATTACATATTTAAACCATTGATAATAGTGCACAGTATAGCATGGATTCGATCGAAACAGAACACTTTAATAATCCTTCACCTTCTTTCATTTAAAGTATTCTAATCTTGCTATAAATATTTTCGGCGGTGAAAATTACAGTATTTCGGTAACGATATAGTAAAGCATTACTTACCAATTTGTTAGTATAGTAGTTTCTGGCAAATGTTTGTACGTTTCACCATAATACTCTGGAATAGTATTGACAACTGACAATCAACTAAATCTGCTACGATCGATTGAAATGGAGTTAGGAAATTATTACATAATTCTAATGTATCTTGCTGTGAAGTAGATGGCCTAAGTAGGACTTTTAGATCCTTTATGCTGTTCTATAGTATGCACTGTAGGTTTAAATTTCAGAATTATATAGCTCCAAGCCATAACTTACAATAGTATAGGATACAATGCAGTGAAATTCCAGACAACAATAGTGTCCAGGGTTAGGGTTAGGGTTAAAGTAATCATGAAATCGATAATTAAGAGTAGCTAATAGTGTAAATTCTATGGTCCAATTCGTGATTGATTCTGAGCACGTAGCGTCCTTTATAATACTATAAAGCTAAAGCGTTTTGCAGTACAGTTAATCGATATACAGTGTACGGTAGTAGAATAAATAGTGTAATTAATAAATATCGATATGTTACGTGCTCTTGCTGTAAGGCAACAATTATTATCTAAAAATAGACTCGTAAAAAGTCCAATCGCTGCAACCTAGGGTATCTAGTCAATCGAAGTTATGCACAATTCAGACAAGTATCCCATCTTTTATCTTGGGTTACTGTGCTTTGGTACCATGTTCTAAATGGCAGACTTGTATTACCTAGATTGATTACCTTGTAGGCTATTTAACTTGCTGCTCTGCTGAAATCTTTTAATCATTATGGTTCTGGCATTTGTCAGTACAGTACATTAACTTTAGTCATTACTGAATTACTCCATATGACAATATCGAATGAAGATTATGGCGTAATTAAGCTATTAACCTCACCCAAAGCGAGTTAGTCTATGGGATGCTTTTCTTTCAATGCTCCAATTGATTCTAATAATGAAGGACATGTTTATCCGTGTTGGATTGATATCCTTTTCTAACTCTGAATCCGCCCGCCCAGTTTTACAGTTGATAATGTCAACAAACCGTTCATTTACTAATACTTAATATTAGCTCCTACTAAAGAGCCATTATTCTATAATGACAGTGTAGAATTAAGAAAAAGGCAAGTTTGTGCAGTCTTCCTATCTACATAATCCACGCACGATAGGTCTGATATTCGAATATATAGACGTACAATATCGCCAAGAAAAGGAAGATAACTGAAATTTCCGTTTTACATTTCCCTAATTAAGAAGACGTTATGTTATAATGTAATCCAGATCACAAACACTTGTTTAGTCATTATCCATTATTGCTTACCTACCAGATAATTCGCAAAAACGTCAATTTCTAACCATTATTATTTAATATGAGATTGACTGACTAATGAGCTATTAGCCTCTAATTATATATTATGACGTCACATTTTAATATTTAACGTCATAATTTCTTCAGATTAGCTATAGATTGCAGATAGCTATACAACATGCAGCTCTGTACAATATAATTTTGTAGGATAAATTGAACTGGCTGCTCAGTCCGTGATTCATAAGCTTTACAATGACTGGCAGACATGTAGATAATTACGTCTAGGATGTTATAATTGCACCCAGGAGGGTCACTTTTTCTTACTGATCAAAAGTTAGCTAACCGTGAAAGAAGCAAAGATGTAGATCCAACTTAATGTCAGTAAGGTAATACGAGTGTAATTATAAATGACAAAACAGCGACATCGTTTATTTACTAAAATACAAGCGTCCCATGAATACACTAGTAACTTAATAAATCAACTACTGTATGTACTATTTTCGATGACCTCTATAAGCCATAACAAAATAATCGTTTCCAGATGTATTGAGCATATTTCAAATATCTTTGTTTAAAAACAAATTAATCGTAATTACTTAGTACAAATATTTTGTAAGCTTATCATCTAATAACATATTTTATCTTACTGATTATCCAGCTTATCAATGGCTAGTTGATATTTATATTATTGGAGATATACAGTATAGTACAACGAAACGATGTTAAAATGGCATTTGTGGAATTCGGTTGTTGCTCAATAATTTTACATATCTCGTCATTATAGTAATCATTTAATGCCAAAATACCCTTGACATGCATATACTGTACGTAGCATATTTAATATATAGTGTACTTGTAGTGCAATAGCTAAATGAATTACGTTTAAAATACACGATAGAAAGTCTGTCATCAACATTGAGCAGATAATTGTTCGAAAGCAGTAAATATACATAAAACGGTTGGAATTAGATGATATTACAACCTGTATTATCGTGCTATCGAATAGGAAAAATTTGCTTTTAGGTTGATTTTCCCCTTTTGATCATAGTCAGTTACATGAGTTATGTGTGTTCTCTTATATATCTACTAGATTCAGCTTAAATGTCAGTCAAAAATTTACAATTATTTTTCCATTTATCCGTAAAGTATGTTTTCATTGGAAGCAATATGATATTACCATTACAATTGATGGATAATTATAGGGACGATAGTACTTATTTGCAACAATTTAGCATAATATTATTAAGATAGTGGAGACTTACATCGACCGGCAGATTATAAAATGCCTAAAAAAATTAATATTTTGATGCAATAGTTGTCCTGTTATTACATAGGTGCACATAATATGGTCTCCTGATCGACTACTTGCTGTTTTGCAGATTGATCTTGATTACCTTGATTATTGTTTTAGTTTATTAATAATATGACATGGGTTTGGTCAACTATTTGTTTCATGTATATGTTACGGCTATTCTTAAGAATATAATATAATCAGCCTTATTCTTAGGACTGGTCATAACATATTCATGGAACGATCCTTGCCTAAATACGTTAATCTATACAGTAAAGTATTGCTAGGTAGTGATCTCCATCTTCCGACATATTCAAATTTCATTTCAAGTCTATTTGATATAAAGGATAGAAGTGTAGAGCGAATACGAGTATGTGCTATAAAAATACTCCAAAATTTGAAGGCTTTATTTTGGCTTGTATTTTAATATCAAAGAAGTGACTGTTCAAAAACTAGTCCTAGTAATTACCTTTAATCGTACAAATGAATAAATTGTCATCGTCGTTAATTCAGTAGTTACAACCCTATACTATCAACTATTTCTTCCTAAATTAATTGTAAGTATTGCAATGTACAGTATATCTAATGGTTACAAATGAAAACACGATGTACAGATTAATTAACTTCCTTTGGTACTTGTCGTAGTTTATTCGTTTTACTAATTAATGTCTGTGTCAATACATCTTTCCTGCTGAGATTAAAAATACTGGGATACTTGTACTATCAATATGTAAAATTTTATCGGAATAATGCAGTATGTCATGAAGTTTACTAGCTGTTAAGCTCTTGCACCAAAACTATATCTAGTGAAAGGCAGGTTCTTCTCACATCTTTCATATTTTATTGTCATTGTTATTTCCAGTAGTTGGAGATTGTGCACAATATCTAATGTTCGGTCATAGGTCATGCATATTACTATAAGCTTTACAAACAGCAAGAACTTAAGTCATCACGCCCTTCTGAGATACGTTGTCAAAATATTTCCTGTAAACAAATCCATTTGTAAACAATATGATAGCCAAAATGATGTTTTATGGAAAAATCTACCACGGCTTTAGCTTAATAACGAACAATTCAGGTTATGAATGAGTCATTATCATGTTGTAGTCTTTTACCCACATCTTCTATAAAAACTATCGGTACAGAATTACGTTTGCAAGACAATACTGACAGCTACAGGTGTCCGTCCCTTTATGGTGACGTACGATACTTAAGTACCGAACTTAGATGTGGTTGTCTTTAACGCTTACCTGCACAATCATAAGTGCGATTTGATACGGATAAATATTAAGGGGATTAATTATAAGCAAAAAAACTAAAAATTGTAACTAACTCTAGTCTTCACCAGGGCAAAAACTAACACTGCAATTGTTATTCATTTATGTATTTTCCTACTGTTATTAGCTTGGACAAAGTTATTCAAGTACTCAATCGGTTGACTGTAGTCTCCTTTGTTACTTTGCCTAATAGAGCTAATTCTACGAGACATGACTGCATTGAAAGCCAGTGGGTTGCCTGAAAATTTTTCTTTTTATTTGTCTGTAAATTACAATAACTGAATAGGACTATAGTGAAAGATAGAAGATTGTGTTATTGAATTTTAAGAATAATCACCGTTACATTGTCTTGCGGCTTTAATGTTATCGCTTACTTGATTCGATACGGATTACTGATGTGAATAATATTTTCTTAGGTAAGGAGAAAAAACCTGGAGACAAGCTATGCTTTGATAAAGATGCCGGCGACGGTAAGATTAATTTTAAAATGCTAACTATTATATTGTATTGTATTGTGCTATAAGTACTAAGTTAATACCTAAATAATTTTACATTCTCTTTGTTGATACAGACTTCTTTTGCGGTGTGTATAGTATACTGTACTAATACTGTATGTACATACCTTGCATGCTTCAATAGATTACACCGCCTGATCAGATATCATTTTTGTCATAACGAATCAACGAGCGAATAAAACTAAAGTATTGTAGTCGTATAATTTTAAATATGAATAAGAAATGTCTGTTGTAACTTTTAATGTAGTCTACTCTATTATTAATAATTGTCTGCCAGTCTTATATTAATTAATCCCTTTAATTGTAGCTTTTATTTTGTAACGTAATTACATCTTCTGACCATCGTAAACATTTTAGGCTTTTAACCAATCATGCACTGATTTTGCTAAAATTGATTGTTAAATCATGGCATGGTCAGCTAACTATTATTTAAGCCAAGATGTGCCTATGGTTAGCATTATCGTTATTGAAATCTGTAAATTTGTACCATGATGGTATCCAATATCGGATTCCAACGTTATAAGTTACTTGCTCTCTAGGTTATGATAATAAAAATTGAAGTAGAAATTTTTTCTACATGAAGGCCACTAGGTTACATATCGGAATACGTATCATGTAATTGTCGCGAGATGTTGCAAATTTGTCTTATTATCGATACTTATTTATACCGATCGCATTCAAAATAAATTTAGTGCAGCTTTACTAGATAATTGTTTGGCTGTTATAAAGTATTACCGACATCAAATACGGTACACATGTTTGTACATCTCAATGATGATAGCATGATGCGTTAATGCTCACAATTACTCCTGACGTATTACGTAAATAAATGTGGTTACCACAAACCTAGTTCCCTGCTGCGTTGATTCGCTATGACTTGATTTGTTTGTCAAGAAAGTGGCCATTTTAGTATGATACGCCTCTGTTCAACTTTATTTGTTCACGTTAATGCTTTCAAAAAGCGGAACTGATCATGAGGATATATCCTCGAATTTTTACAGGATTCAAACGTTGCCCATTTCTGGGTCACTCTTCTCGGACACCCTTCGGCATTCCATACATTAAAAGTGCTAAAATCGTTGATGCATCTAACTTTAACAATCAAGGTAAGCTAAGTATAAACTATGCAAGTAATGTCTTAAATTATGATGTACGATTTATTATTTGCATTGTTATGGCTAGTTAATATGTAACGTTGTATGAATCTGTGTTATAGCAAGTGCTCACATGGAAGAAGTATATTTTTCCGGCGAACATAGTGAAAATTCTTCAAGACGACAAGGATTTTCAAACCCAAATCAAAGACAGTCGGTCGACCATGAATATAAAACCACTAGAGGTAAGAATTGTAGTAAATTTCTCGTTTTATCGATATTGTCTAGTTGGTAGTAGTTAATTCTTCTTCATTAGTGGAGAAACAAAATAGATCCATATGTACTGTAGATTACTGTAATGTACTGAAAGTATAATTTTTAGCATGCAACTTTGATCAAAATAGTAATTATAGAGTTATTATATATAAAATATCTGTATCCGCATTGTACGAGAATCTTTTCATTTGCTAACCAATCTTTTTACGCTCTTTTGAAATAGAGCCGTTATTCAGTTATAATCAATTCTTTAATGACCAAATTGAACTAAAGAAAAAGAATCATACGTATCGTATCTTCAAGGAAATTAATCGTTCCGCTACAACATTCCCCTTAGCAAAATGTCATCTTCCTGACCAAACTAGGGATGAAATCACGGTTTGGTGTAGCAATGATTACTTAGGACTGAGTCGTCATCCGAAAGTTATTTCCGCTGTAACGTATGTAATGATATTTCAAGTAGTAGCTGTATTCTATAATGATTCATTAAAGCTGCCATACATTAAATGGTGCTAATACACTGTACGATTTATCTTTGTTATTGGATTTAGTGAAGCTCTTAAATGTTGTGGAACTGGGGCAGGAGGTACACGGAACATCTCTGGAACGAACAGTCTTCATCGCCGACTTGAAGCAGAACTTGCGCAGTGGCATAGAAAGGATGCTGGACTTTTATTCAATTCATGCTATTTGGCAAATGAAACTGCTATATCTACTTTGGCGCAACAGTTACCGAATTGTGAGATATTTTCCGATGCTGGTAATCACGCTTCCATAATACAAGGTAGTGAATTGTGCCTTATGTATAAACTCAATAATAGTACACTCTAATATGCCTCGAAAGATCTTTTGTTATCGTTAATGCATAATATTAATATGTTTATCTGAAAACTTTACGATAGGAATTCGTTTGAGTAAGAGTCCAAAGTTTATATTTCGTCATAATGATCCTGAGCATCTAGAAGAGCTACTATCGAAATCTGATCGTTGTAAGCCTAAGCTTGTAATATTTGAGTCAGTACACTCTATGACTGGCGATATAAGTCCAATGAAGCAATTGTGTGACGTTGCTCACAAGTATGGTGCTTTAACATTCATTGATGAAGTTCATGCTATCGGATTATATGGAGATACTGGTGCTGGTATTGCCGAAATGGAAGATATTATTGATCACGTAGACTTCATTAGTGGTACATTAGCGAAAGCTGCTGGTAACATTGGTGGTTACATTGTTGGAGATCGTGAAGCTATTGATACCCTGAGGAGTTACTGCCCTGGCTTCATTTTCACTACTTCTCTTCCTCCAGCAACCGTTGCTGGTTGCCTAACTTCAGTCAATATTTTAAGGGGTGAAGAAGGCAAACAACTACGTTCAAGACTTCATTCGAACGTTGCTACTCTGTTCAATAAACTACGAGCAGTTAATATACCTGCAGTCAAGACTCCAAGCCATATTATTCCTGTTCATGTGCGTTACTACTTTATAGAGATATAATTACGTCAAAGTGTAGTTCAATTCATCTATCTATAGAGTTAATAGCGATTATTTTATAACACTTATTATTTACTATTATTTAGGTTGGGAATGCCGAAGAATGCTTACGTGCAAGTAATGATTTACTTTTGCAGCATAATGTATACGTTCAGTCCATTAACTATCCAACAGTCCCTGTTGGTCAGGAACAGCTAAGGGTTACCACAACTCCTCTACATACTGAAGAAATGATGGATTACTTAGTTGACTCAATAAGGAGTGTATGGAAGCAGCACAACATTCCATTTTTATGGTCCGTCTGTAATAAATATGACAACTGCTACTGTACCGATGAATCAGCAACCGCCCTATGTCGTTACCAAACATATATTCGATCACGTTATAGGCCATCAAATCTAGCTGGAGCATCTTCGATTAGTATACCTATTTCCGCTTGATTTAAACTCATAACCTCATTTCTGCTAGGCGATTAGTAGGCAATCTACTCCTCGGAAATGTACTTTTTTTCCAAATTTCGAATATCGGTACATTGTATAGCCGTACAGTCTATTGCTTTAGTGATGTGTACTCAAAATTATGCATTGTTCATCACACACATGAAGCGAAATTTGGTTTTCCTTTACAATTGATATCATTTAAAGATAGTATAGTATATCTTGAATGCATACATTTATAATATATTACATTCACACCTACAAACGCATATGGTATTGGGTGTCACGGATAAATGACGACGACAATGCTTCGAAGTTGGACACTCTGTGATTTATTGACGCTTTATTAACGATAGCAATAGCGATTTTATTACATTACTGTATTATATCACTTATGAAGCAAACGGTGTTACTGATATTAATTTGTATCAACATATTACCAACTGAATATTTGAAAATATTGTTAAACCGGATTAAATTACGAAGAAAAAATAAAAATGTTTCTGATACAAAGACAGCATCGCATTCATAATCTTATGTAGGGTGCAAAACAGAAATCCTATTGTGATGTCAGGCAGGAAGACTACCTGCATGATTACTTATCTAAATCTGTAGTGACATTCTTCTATGTTCATGTTTTTACAGAAAATAAGTTTGAAAATTACTTTCAAATTAAGTCTTCGTATAATCTCGATCTCTGCTTCATTAATAACTACTTGAGAAGGACCAGTCGAGTAAATAAATTATTTGATTTATGCAATGTTATAATATTTTAATTTTTAAATAACTAGCATAGTCAGAATCAATCAGTGAATGAATGCATGTTTACATCAAAGATTGCCGTAGACGATAAGCGCGTTCTATGTATTGCAGCCGATCTCTTGTGGGGTGGTGGTATTTTCTTCATTTTCTTGTAATTTTTCGGTTGTCACATCAGCTAACTCATTATTATCTAAATTACATTCAGCCTGAGATCTAGTAGACCTAAAGTTGTCTATGAGCCAATGTATTTCTTGTTGAAGAGAAGCCATTTCAACACATATATTGATGGCTGCATAATCGATTATAAAAGTAACTGATCAGTAAATGTTCTATCAAGTGCGAAATAAAAGTCTTACTCTTAATAACGATATTACATAGGAAAGATATCGTCTAAAACTTCAAATCTAACCTTTTTCAAAGTCTTTTTGGGCGCTCCTCAAGCATGGAGGAACAAGAACACCAAACCAGTTCAGTGGATTACCAATTTGATTTGCTTTTTCTTCTTTTTTACTCATTTTCATTTTATCTAAGTCTTGTGCTAACTTATCCACGGTTGTCTTATCACCCGATTCCCCTTTACGTCGACGTACTGTTGATTTTATCTCTTCACCGTTCTTCGTTTTTTTATCGTCTATTCTATCGGATATATTGGAACGTAGTACTCGAAATTCTTCATAATTTGAATCTTTCGATGGACTATAATACAACATTTAAATGCATTCTATTCATTTCAGGAAAGTAAATTTGAGCTGTACACAGTAAAATCAGGCAATAATAGCTACCATCACAGATTTAATAAAAAGTAGTGCAAGCATGTTAGTAATGCAGTATTATTACAGTAGACTGTAGCGAAGTATTCAATTACAACAAAATAATCTTATAAATTGCATCATAATAGCATATACGGAGCAACTGCACGTGCCTGGATTGTAATCATTTAATAGTCCATGCCCTTTCGGTTGCATATACGTACAAGTTATTGAACAATTTCAATGACTGTCAGCTGCTAAGCTAACAGTAATAAAACATGCTCATTTGAATAGTCCATACTGATAGTATCAAGCGTACACGTAGTGTCTATCAGGAGAACCAAGTATATTGGCGCCTAAATCTACTTACTAACGTGGACTACTCACTTTTGACAACGAAGTAAACAGCGCTTTCTGTTCTATGGTACTAATTAGCCGCAGCGGTGATGTAATAGTTAACAAACTACGCACATAGTATAATAAATTTTGGAACATTTTCTAGATAAAGCTCAGTGTGATATAATCATGAAGAAAACTACTTTGCCGATAAGGATATATCGGTGATGATCTTAAGTACACCATTGCAGTATTTATAAGCAACACGCAAACTTACTCGATTACGACACGTGTAATGGCTTCCATGTCTGACGGATACTGCAAGGCAGTAACAGCTTTATTACCCATTGAATAGCGCGCCTTGGACATATTATAGAAACCCTAAAACAAGATTTTATTCTCAGAACATGATCATAACAAAGTTTGTACAACCATGTACGACTAGCCAAATAAGGGTTTATCACTCACTACTGATATTTTGGTAGTCATAAAATTTCAATTAAATGCTAACACTAGAGTTAAGAACAATTTGTAAAAGCTGAATGGACAATGATCATGATATTGACATTCAACTATACGCGTTTATTGGAGTTAATTTGTATAACTTATCGACCATTTCAAATACGATTACTTTATAATACTGTAAGTACAGTGCTATTGGTACAAGACAATAACTCTGTCCTCCTATGTTCATAATACCAAAGTAATGATAACGCAGCAGATTCGAGCGAGATTGGCAAAACTGATACTTTAGTACGAGTGAGTATACGAAGACATGGTGTAATTTACGGTCTATCACTATCTGCATTTTAGTAGAACAGTCTGAGCCATGGTAAATGTAAACGTAGAAAAAAGCAGCGAAGAAATTAGCAACTGCAACCATTGCCGTAAGCTAAGTGGTAGTCTGTAGTTAAATTATTTCTAAAAGAATAAAGTTACAGAGTAGGGTTAGCTAACTTAAGGTAATGAATTGTAAGAATATCCATCTGATCCAGTCCAAGAGACTGCCAAAGAATACAACAATAGTTCAATCAATCAATCAATCTATTCAATCTCGAATGCAGAGCGTTATACACCATTTTAAAGCTTTCGCTACGTAAATACAATACATTTTAGTCTCAATATTGTAGTATTACCATTATTGCTGATATACATAGTATCTATTCATTATCGATTGAGACTGTTGTATGCTATACATAAATCAGCAATATTTTCATCCAAGTTGAGGCAAAGTGCTTTCAACTGGACGTATTGCTGAGGTGAAAATCTCCATGTTGCATGTTGCATGTTCCTATCTAATGTTTATTAGGTCAGAATATTTGGTAGCCTACTAGTTATTCATGCTGTTGCAATTGGTATGTCAGGATTATAGACTAAAGTTTCAATTTTGTCGAGTGGGAATGTGTAAGCATTAACTCAACTAAACATAGGATCATATTATTATTGCACTATCAGACAGACAAAACATCATCACAGGACATACTTTACTTATCGTGCTGCAATGAATCGTTGTTATTCTATTAATTTATAACGTTAATATCATATCAGGGGTGATCGATGCTTGCAAGCCATGGCTACAGCATCCAGTCATGACTACTACTAACAGTATCACTCATTTTTGAAGTGCATTTCAGCCATGGAGGTAAACATTGCCAATACAGGATGATTCATTATCCATTGAAAATGCAAGTTCTATTTCTAGCTATTGAAAGTTCTATACTATCAGTAACAACTTGCCTCTTTTAATAAATTTTCTAATTGGGTCCATTGCTGTATCCTTTGGTCCAATTTGTTAAATAATGTCAGCAAGGTCCGATCTAAATCGGAGGAGAGCGTGTCTGTGTCCGCCATATTTTTCTGCGACGTGATGACGTATTGATTTCGACTGGCTGGTACAGTACGGTATTGTACCAGTCGATCGGTTACAGTGTACAGTCCGCTCCCTCTCAATCCAACCAAACCATAGCTGTACTGTAGATACACGCTACTGTATTGGAAAAATAGTACTTTCTACAGTACTAGTCGACTTTCTTTCTGCTAGTCCTTGGTACTGTACTCGTACTGGTACTAATGTTGCATCATCCTGGTCATGGCAGAAAGATGTCATGGACTACTGCAGAAGTGTCGATCTGAGAAAAGTTTTATTCGCAGTTTCATGACTATTTGTTGTCCACTGTACAATTGTTCAATCATCTGGTCATGGCAGAAAGATGTCATGGACTACTGCAGAAGTGTCGATCTGAGAAAGGTTTTATTCGTAGTTCCATAACTATTTGTTGTCCACTGTACAGTGTACAATTTGTTCAATCATCTGGTCATGGCAGAAAAGATGTCATGGACTACTGCAGAAGTGTCGATCTGAGAAAGGTTTTATTCGTAGTTCCATGACTATTTGTTGTCCACTGTACAATTGTTTAATCATCTGGTCATGGCAGACAGATGTCATGGACTACTGCAGAAGTGTCGATCTGAGAAAGGTTTTATTCGTAGTTCCATGACTATTTGTTGTCCACTGTACAGTGTACAATTTGTTCAATCATCTGGTCATGGCAGAAAAGATGTCATGGACTACTGCAGAAGTGTCGATCTGAGAAAGGTTCTATTCGTAGTTCCATGACTATTTGTTGTCCATAAGCGCTGTACTGTCTGTCTATCCATTGGAATGAAGAGAGGCACATGATTGTCATTTCATGGTCAGATCTAGCACATAGATATTAACAGACAGACAAGTAATTGCATTAATCATAAAATGCAAGAGAATGAGTGCTTATGCTGTCTAGTACTAGTGATAAAGTACTACTGTTATATCGGTTGGATGGATCTTTAACTTTCAACTCTTTAAGGTCACATCATGTCATCATCAATTTGCATGATTTATGATGTCATCCTTGACTGCAGCATAGGCATAAGCATCGGGAAATGCAAATGAATGCCATGATCAACTAGAGTATAGGTCGAGTGGAATCCATGTACATTGTACAGGACTGTTTAGTGTCTACCATAGCCACAGAACCAGGGACTTTTAAGAAGAGAATGTTGATTACTCCCCTCCCTAAACGCCAAAAAAGCACAAACTTAGTCCATTTCTGCTCATTCTGCTAGACTCTAATGCAGAGATCGTCCATTATACTGTCAGCTGAGTCAACATACGGTACAGTTCCAAGGAGCAATCAAATAGTCGACTGGCACATTTGGAGTCTAGGCTAAAACAACAATTTTCGGTCTGTCTCTCTTTCCCTTTTTTACTAGTACCGAATAGCTACATAAGGCATAGTCGTAGAATGAATAAATAGACCACTGGGTGCAACATCATGGACGAATCCACTCGATACTGTAGATATGGTAGTCCTTGGCAACATACGTGCATGCATACAAGATATATAAAGTACAGTATGTATTATACACATTATGCAGTAAATTCGACATAGTCCACAGCAGAGTATTGGCTAAAACCCCTCAGTACAGGACCATCATCAGCCTAATATTATCTACTCTCTGCTGCCACAACAAGTCCCAAGCCATCCTTGTTTGGATGTCTGCCATGATCATGGAGGTAAGCAACGTTGACTAATTCATTTTCAGCTATGAATTGCACAATAAATCCATTCCATAACATAGGATAAGAGGAAGCACTCTAGACTTTGTATCCATTGATTAAAAGCATTGAGTTAGAACTGCTTAAAAGAAGGATTATTTAGCTGCCGGTTCTTCTACGCCTGCTGAAGACTAGTCCCCTCTTCAATGAGATGCAGTGCTGCTATATTCCAATGATTCAATCAATGTCTAATTTGATTTCTACAACAGAAACCTAAACGCCCAGCAATTGATATCACGGCCGTACGTGATTTGGAATCACGTGCCAATGACATTCGGGATAACCTAAACGAAATGTTAACCAAGTTAAAATCAAATATGGATCAAGTTAGTCAACAAGCTCAGTTTGCAATCAAAATAAACCTACTCTACTTAATGAAATATCGCATTCTAAACGGTCAATTCGGTATAAATTGACATTGAACACTTCTTTTAGATATCTCAAGTAACGGTGGACGGATTAAAAATTTATCAACATAGCGTTGACGATATCTGCGACAGCTTAGATAGAAATATTCATGTAAGTACCAAAAAATACGTCAGTGAACTGAAACTTGTGCAATCTTCGCTATCAACTGTCCATCCATGCATGAATTTGCATTGTATGGCCTGTAGTATGGGTCAATTACCACTCTTTCGGAAGTAATTTACAGCAGTTTAGCATGAATCAATTCAAAGTCGGCCGGTTGTGTGTGTCACGAGTAGTTAATACTTGCTAAACGCAGATGTTGATCAACTTTTACTTTTATTCTGTTGCCATTAATAGAGCATGTATAACCTAATGTCAAAGTGCGACGAAATTGATCGAAATATGAATCCGTTGTATGAAATGGCTGCCGAAATGTAAGTGCATGAATCGTATGTTCAATCTTATTTAGAAAGGAGACCATTGCCGATATAATCATCATGTATAATTCAAATGCAGATACTGGTCATGGCAAGAAATCCCATACTTATTTATACAGAATAGCAAATATTTCTGTGACCAATACAATTATGCACTTGCAATAACTGCTTATTACAGTACTCCAGTTGCTAAATCGAAATACCGCCAAATAGACTATATAGCATAATTCCACAAATTACATCATTTATTAATTATTATTGTTTATGATATGCTTAGCTAAAACAAATAGTTATATCATGGTACAGTAATACAGCTATATAGTCATGATATCTTATGAAATTTACCAATTTTCTCGCATCGGTAAATATGCTGCAACCGCAGTCAACGAATATTAGACTGCAAAAACAATCGGTTTCTCATTGCACAATAACAAATGTTAGCCTATTGCTTTCCATAGAAAACAATTTCAAAAAATACTAACAGAATTAGAAGCTGAATGGAAATAGAATTCTTTTCAACAAGATGGATATGCTGTATCAGGTGCAATCACTAGCTGCAGTATTACTAATCAGTTTTATCAATTTAGCTAAAATATAACGAAGTCCAAATGTGATCAAAAATCCAATGTTGGAAGTGATACAGAAGTCAGACTTGTAAGTTTCTCACTTACAAACTTGTATTGTTTCATGTGCAAATCGTTTCAATCAATGCAATGTTTTATTGCAAACGTGGAAGTAAATTCCTATCACCTGTAAATGAAACTTCTGAATATATCCAATCTTCTCTACCAAGCTAGACAACTTTATAAACCTTGTACAGTATATCATTAGTGTATTCTATAAATGCGCCTGTAATATACTTATATAATATTCGTGCATAACGTAAACTGTATATACAGCATAAGCCTTTGTTATTCCATGGTGTATTCCTAAATTCTATCATGTAACTATTGCTCTGTTAACACATTTTGATTGTAATTGCATCATACTGGCTTGGAATAATCTCAGATACAGATCGCATACCATTCATTCAAGCTCAGTATGGTGTAGGCTTCGATAAAAAGACCGTACGATTCATTAAGCAACACGATTACATTGAAATACTATTATTTAATTTCATAACTGTAATAAAAATTAACTAAAAAATGAATGCAAACATAATAAATTGCACAGATTACATTCCCAGATAAACAAATAAATTTATTTTATTTCTTGACTACACCTCTGGACAAGTTTTATAAACACAAAATTATCTAAATTTATCTTTATGAATTTAGATATATCTGTGTAAACGAAAGTATATCTAAAAATTAAAATATTCATTGCTGGCAAGCATAAAACATGAATTTCACGAATAAAATTAGAAAGTTATGAAACAAGCTGCACCGGTTCTAGCTGTCATTTAATATATGATACTCGGCATAGTATACAGAAAGATAGCATGAAATAAACAACATAATTATATTTGCTTCGACATGCAAGTGCATCCTGAATAAATTATTCATACAACTTTTTAGCCTATTAAAAGAGATCTATAGATTTAAGCCTATGTGTATACATCTTAGTGTTTAGGTAGCAATTAATTATTCTTTAAAATTATTTCGTTGTTAAACTTCTATCTGATCTATATAAACATCGATACTATTGTAAAGCCTGCCTCTTATTTATTAATTAATGGGTAGTGTTCTATTAGAAATGGAGCTTTGTAATTATCATTGTAGTACTGTAATAAACATAACGGGTGAATACGAATGTAGCCATTTATACTTGTTAAGTGATCGATTGAAATTGCATATTTGTGCGAGATAATCTATAGCTTCTCGTTATTATAATATATCGGTACCTGTATAGTATACAGTGTAGACGTACGAATACTGGCTATCAATATTTTATCTATGAATAGGATGAGTGAATGCCATTCGTACTATTTGAGTAATCGGCTGAAATTCGATACCTCTCTTGCAAAATAAACGATAGCCTCTTCTATATTGTATTAAACTTGCCATCAATACTTCAGTTGTCGTTTCTTCATCAGGTTCGTTTACTTTAAGATATCTCATAGATAATATCGTAGCGATATAAACTATTGGTGTACTAGCAATAGTTGCATTTAACGATATAAATGACCATTTGTTCGAATCCAATAAAACTGTAAATATAAACGTAACAAGTAAACATGTAGTAATTATAATATTATATAAAATTTGCCAAAGATTCAACGATACTTCAGGAGCATAGTATCGTATATAATCGAATAGTTCTGAAGGTATTCCAATACACTCACAATCATCGATGTTATTTATTTTGTAATAGACTTGACTTAACTTTACTCGATAGTATTCGACCTTTTTATCACTTAAGTGTTGACTAATGCATGCTAGCAATTCATTTAATCCATCATTGTATCCATGATAGAAATAGATATTATAATCGGGCGATAGTGTTACTTGGACAAAATCGTCATGTAATAGATTATATTGAAAGACGACTTTAGACATTCCAACTACTAATTCATAGTGATTTAATACTACGTATTGTAAATATCGTCGAACATAATATTCTATTTGGCTGTCTTGTAACATTTCAGGTAAATCAATTGTTATTATAGGATTGTTAAGATCTTCCGAGACGACGAAATAGATTTCCAGCTTTCCTTGTTTAGCAGTTAATATGTCATCGATTTTAGATTCTACACTCTGTTGTAACTTGATAATACGTTTAGGAAGCATATATCCTTTGCTTGCATACGAATCGATCAATTTTGTAATATAGTGTACATAAGGTATAATAACGACAATGACGATACTAAAGTAAACGGAATGGGTGATAATAAATATCGTAACATTGATAATAATACGGCAAATGACTTGAAAAGTTAGCCAAAATGTTACTATAGTAATTGTAGAATACAAAAACGCTATGAGAAATAAGATAGGCGATACTATGATATTAAAGCGCTTCAATTCGGAACTTGTAAATAGAAAATATCGTTTTAATTTCAAGGTAAGAACCTCACACATAAATAATGCAATTCGTAGTAGTTCAATAGGGCCGAAAATAAAGAAGGGTAGACAAACTAGGAGCGTAAGTAGACCCTTAATGAATTTCATAAAATGGCAAGACGTTAAATGATTTATAATATCTTTGAGACGAGTTATAAATTGTAGGTGTAAATGTCCAAAATTACTTCGAGTTAAGACTTTATAATTTGATGTTGATAGGGGAAGAAGACGCTGATACGATGATGAGTTAGTTAACCAGAATTGTTTTAGATGGGCTAATATTATAATTAAGGTACAAAAACAATGAATACCCCCGAAAATTGATAGCCAAAATCTAATCTCGTAGAGCATAGATAGAGGCTGCACAGCGGGTAAAATCATGAAGAAAGGAGGAAATATTTGTAAACCAATAGAAATGAATGTTCCAGTAAATCCAGCAAAGAATAATAGAATATAAATTAAGCTGCATTGGATTTGTAGCCAACGATTTTTGCTAGAACCGGTAGTTTCTCGGAGATAGAAATATCCGACTGTCTGCAACTTTACTTGGTTCAAAACAGAAACGCTAACTGAATCAATTTCCGTATTCCTAACAATAAACATATAACAGTTGTCAGCAATAAGGAGCCGATTTGTAGCTATCAAAATTTTTATCGTTTTCATTACACAGATTTGATTTGTATATCGTTGCATTACTATTCCTTACAACAGGAACAAAAGTTATGCATAAAAAGTATATAATGTGTTAAAGCTTGTACCTTTTGTTAATAATATTTAGAAGACATACTATTCGAAGTCATAAAATACACATGGAAGTATTTTGGCGATTTTAAATGCAAAGAATTTGGATTTAATGGATTTTATAGCTTAGTCACTACTAAATGTTAATCTTTCTATTGATTTTAGCTCATTTTGTAGTGTACAAATAGATTCATCAAAATAGAACTACTTTAAAAATAAGATGTGACAATAAAATCATCACATACAATATCTACAAATTTACCCTAAAATTATCCATCAATTCGCTTCGAATCATTGCACTTAATATAGCTAAATTGAATTTACTAATCTCTAAATATTGAATCCAGAGCCGTACTTAGCATGTTTTTTATCAGATACTGAAGCGTATCAGGCTAGAAATTGTTGACATGAAATTATGGAATTTTCCATCACGCAAAGGGAAAATCTAAAATTACACCGCTGTACATGATATATATAGTACATGCCTGTGTCTAAAAATATCACAGATCATGTTTCTAATTTCATAGCTGCTAGGTTTTATGTATTTTTGGGATAGTATTTTGTAAAATTACGTTATACTAACATAAAATTAAATACCATTGCTGATGATAAGGACTTACTTTTCTAGGGTGTCCAGATAGGAACTAATAACTTTAGCCAATATATTTCCACCCAAAACTGTGCTCAAAATAATAGTAAATATCCTCATTATTGGCACATACCATGCGATAGTTTGAGGTTTTAAACATTTGTTAATATTAATCTCGGAATCTGATTCTTTATATTCACAACATGAATAATCAGCTGTACCAAGATCACTTGTTTTATTCTTTAAAAAGTTTCTTCTGCATAAAGAGCCACTTTTTTCGCTAGAACTATTTTTACTATTATTTGATCGAATTAATTGAACCAAAGTTTTAAACACAATCAATTCTCGACAAGTATCATTAGCATGTATATAACAGCCTTCAGGAGATTCCATAACATGGACTTGTAGAGAAGATGCAAAGATCACGTATAGACTTAAGCTCGTAGTAATATAATCACTGGGTAATGCAAAAATAGCCCGGCCATAATCATTTCTTAACCACGCATAAAATGTACCCTGTTCTTCATGTCGGGGTCGAATGGGTTGACTGTCGTTTTCTTTACATAGGTAGAAAAACACAACGCGGATCGATGGAGATTTAATTTTATTCTTGAAGTTGTTATATGTTTGAGTTTCTTCTAATATGCTTAATTGGCAATTAGAATAGCATTGGTGATCGTCAATATTATCAGAATTGACGTAGTGAACGAATATAAATAGGCATAAAGTGGATAACCAAACAGATATCCTAAAGGAATTGGATTTGTAACCCATCGGACGAACTAGCGTAAGCTAAATCGTGAAATCAATATAGAATGGATTTAGAGATGAGTAAATTTTACTATATTCTACTGATATGACTAAGTTGCTTCAAAAATGTAATACCTTCTAAACTTGGTAGGTGTAGTGTTTGGGTATTACAACCCCTTAGGTTCGTATTCGTCTAACTCAAAATCTGAGATATTAGAATTGAGCAAATCTCTAATATGACACAACGTGACACAAGATTAATAGGTTAAGGTATCTTGATTCAACAAATGGGTGCTGATTCGTTAGTACCCCACTACCTAACACTAAATATTAAATTACTTTCTTAAATAGACGTTACCTTTAACGATTGAACAGAATTCGATTTCTATCAATTTATTCATCGATTAAATCCATCTACTAATATCCACTGGTAATGTCCTGTATAATTGTACTGGTAGGGAACAAGACCTTTGAACTAATTTTAAGCACAGTGGTGAGTCTAACTTGTTTATTATTCTTAGCATTCCTGCAAAGTGTTTTTTTCAATTTTCATACTAGGCCATAGCGTGAACTGTTTCCAGGCACTGTGGTGTTTTTGAGCTGAATTTGGCAATCAATAAACAATCATGAATGCCCTCAATCGTGACCACATAGAAAGACTGCCGTAGCTTGATTTGTCGATGATCCTCGCCAACATATTTATTATTTATTCATTCTTTTTTGCGTCAAGTTGCTAAAGATAACACAGTCCATATAATGGGTTATATCTTGTGCCTCTTCTATTATAAAGCATGCCAAATATGATTAGATTTTACAATCTCATCAGTAATACTTATCGTATGGATACACGTATAGCGTATTATAAATCAATTTAGATAGTAATATTTCATATGAATTTTATACCTGAAGAAATTGATTTGCGCGTATTAAACTCAATATAATAAATATCACCATCACTTTGGACTAAAGCAAATGAGTATCCATATAACCACATGCACAGCTCGTGAGAACGGAGATTAGACAGAAATTGTTACGCTATAATTATCAACGCTATGACATAATAATCAAAAGGAATTACAGGCAATGATAACATTTTTGTAAAAGTTTTATTTAAGTTTCGATTAACAAAAGATAAATTGCTATTCAATTGATGAAGATACTGTAAATGGATTGGTTGCATTGATAATACGTGTATTAATTTAAAACATCTACGGTTTTAAATATTATCTATCTGATAGCACTAATAACGTTTTAGTAAGTCTTATACAGCTTGAATTGCTTATCAGATTAGGTTCCAACTTCTTTTAAATCACAAACTGTAAACTAGCTCTTGTTGTTAAAAGTACACAATATTGACTGTTGGTAATTTATAGGAATGCTTTCAATAAGTCATTGACGTCGATAGTAGTGCTTCAAAAGTGTGTATCAAATGGTCTCTCTTTCTAAATCGAACTATAGTAGCACCCAGTATCAGCGGAGTATATAGCACTATCTAGTTATTTGGAAGGTCAACGTTATTTATAATAAATAACTTGGTAAGGCCGAAGTTAAACATTTTGTTTGATAACAGCAATAATTAATCAGTAGAAATATATTGTATTTTGCAATAGCTTGTACTATATTCTTCAAACAAGCCTACAAGTACAGGAATTTTATTACAGACAATGTTAAGATACAACATAAAGGATACTACACTAGGTTAAAAGCAGTTACGATGATGCAATTATCAAATATTAATAGCAAAAAATGCCACTTTCATTAGCTCTGCGTATTGATTTATTACTGAATCATTTTAAATTATAAATGAAAACTAATACAATCCAGATATTTTAATAAGTTGCTACATTAATCAGGTATGCTACGGCATAAAGTAGGTACTTGTCATGGCATTAGATCATCGTGATTTATTAGTTTGTAGAATTGATTGGTATACAGTAGATACGGCAGCTTATTATCAGAGTTATAGTTATAGGCCAGCTTATGTACCCTGCAGTGTTTATACTCAGAAAATATCAATTATTCTGCATACGGTAGAAATAAATGTAATCTTTGCCTATTTCCATGTTTAGGTTATACGGCTAATGTATAATTTTAGAAATATACCAATACCTATATTGATAATATTTAGAGCGTAAGCTTATGATATAATAGGTGTATCAATCAGTGCTATGTAGTAGCAGTAGAATCTTTAATTTACATACAGTATAGTGATATGTTATCGGCCTCAGGAGATGTAGCTGTTGTTTAACGGTTTGCGTGAGTAATGTTACGTAAGAACATGTAAATAGTATTTAAGCTTTTTGCATGAAGTAGTAAGTGGTTTGATAATTTACAGTTTACATATAAGTGGATGATCTCGATTGTTTCTGCCGTGAAACTTGAGAAAAAAGTTTATAGTTGTCATGGAGAACTGATCTTGAAAAGGAGTTCAAGATATAAAAAGATCAGAGAAATATCTCTGATGTAGTTTTGTCGCAAGAATTTTGTTTTATTTAAATGTTATAGGATTAATTCCAAAATAAAAGCGTGATGGTGCAAAATAGAACCAAAGACACTAATAGCCATTTAATCAGGAACCCAGTATGTAATTAGATGGATTGGATACGTAGATAGCGATTTGAGATTACAATCACAAATACCGAGAGTGTTAAGAAAAGTTGCTTCCTCTATAATAACTATATAAAAATTTTATATTTTAATACCAATTAATATTAAAGGTTTGATTTTTCTAGGTCCTAAGCATTCTGTAAAAATGCCTAAGTAAGGTGCTACGTTAGTTAGTCCATTCAATCATTTCCAGGACAGGTTTACTACATACTACATAATATAAACTGGCTATAAGTTGTATTTAATCCTTATCTATGAGTATTGATTTAAATTTGCTATTGTAATTAACTGTGAAGACATAAAAGCTAAAATTTATATATATAATCAATACAAGACGACATAAATGTATTTAAAAATAAGATACATGGATGATGTATATTTACAAACTATAATCTCACCAAATTAATATCTTGATGGCTTAAAGGGCGTCAAGTTATATATAAACGATTTAGTGCGAATAGCCTTAAATAACCTAATTACTAGCAGCTATAATCAATAGTGCAAGAATTATATCATGACTCTGGCCATTATCCCTTTAGCAGCTACGAATTATGGCCATAATCTTATAGCGTCAAATAAAATTACATTTTATCCGTAATCATAATAGTATGAGACTTGAATTTATCTTATTATATAAATTTCCATACTTGCCACAATTACGTTTTCTTGATATTATATACCACACATATTACTCTACATTCTAAAAACATATTTAAATTTATTCAATTAAACGCGATACAGAAGCCCATCGCGAGGTTGGCTGTTGTAATTAATGGCCTCAGCTCTTTCATTTTGGCGATTACGATAAGAAAAAAGGATTCTCTTCAGCTGTTCAAAAGGTTGGAATTCAATGCCTCTTGTACAGAAAAATCGATAGCCTCTATGATACTGAAGAATGTTTGTTAGCAGAATCATATCGGCCGTCGGACCAGCAACCTCGGAAATAGTCAAATATTTTAATGACAGTGTTGTGGTAATATAGACAGATGGTATATTGGCAGCTGCAGCGCTAATCGTAAAGATCGTCGGCAGATTGGAATCGAGTAGGATGGTCAAGCAGAAGGTTAGAAATATTCCAGTGGTTATTGAAACATTAAGGAAAACGCGCCATAGATTAAGAGATATTTCTGGAGCATAATATCGAAGATAATAAAAGAGTTCTAATGGAATTCCAACGCATGGAAAATCATCAATATTTTCGATCGGATAATAAATTTGAGTCAATTTGCTGCAAAATTCTTCCTCAGTTAGATTTTTTAAATGCTCACCAATTGAATCTGTTAATTGACTTAACTGTAAATTACAGCTCTTAGTGAGATAATCTTGATTAAGCTGTGGCAAAGTTACTTTTACTTTATCCTCTTGTCTTTCATATTGGAACGTAATTTTAGACACTCCATCGACTAGAGTACGATGGTTAGCCTTAATTAGCTCTTGTAAATTTTCACAAATCTGCTGTCTTATAGTTTGTTCATTTAGCATTTCTGGTACATCAATAGCAATATTTTCATCCTTACTATTGCGAGATAGCTTAAAGTATACATGTAGTGTGCCTGATTTTGCTGTATATACCTCCCGGACCTTTTTCGTTACGACTTCTTTTAATCTAAGAACTTTTTGAGGTATCATATGTTCCTTCCTTCTGTACGCATCAATAATTCTGATCACGTAAAACACGTAAGGAACAACAAGGATTATAACCACGCTGAAATAGACAGAATGAGCTATTATAAAAGCTGTAGATGTAATTATTACCTTAACCACAAATTGCAAAAATAACCAAATGCCGAAGATGGTCAATACAGAATACATTAGGGCTGCAATAGCAAACAGTGTCGATATTAAGCGATACGTTGGTGTTGCTCTAGATGTCGTAGGCAGGAGGTTATTAGCCATATTTAATGATAAGATGTCGGTAATAAATAGAACAATGCGAATAATTTCAATCCTTGCCAAGATCACAAATGGCAGGCATATAAATATTGAAAAACAAGTTTGGATAAAACTTATAGAACTTCCCGATCTCCAATAAGCTACGGCATCTTTCATGTAATTAGTAAACTGGAAATGTAATTGTCGATGACTATTACCAGTAAAGCATTTAAATGATTTATCTTGCGATTGCTTGGATCGAATTGGAGAGTTTACGCAGCAAAATTGCTTCAAGTGAGGCAATACAACAATCGTTGTTAGCAACGCATAGCAATAACCCACGATTGAGACACCGAAGTAGATCTTTCGTGGTATTTTAATGTCGTAAATTCTAGGGTGGAACTGAAAATACGCAGGAAATATCTGAAAGGTAACCGACAGTATTGCTCCAGCAAAAGCAATTAATGCCAGTAAAATGAGCTTGAAACAGTAACCAAGCTGCTTGCATCGACTTTTTTCGTCCAGTTTACGTAAGTAAAAATATCCAATGGCATGAAATTGTAAAGAATTCAAGATCCGAATCTTTTGAGAGTTTTCTGTGGTTGTTCTATTAAAGTAATTACGTAAATGAAATTAACAGTTAGTAATTTAAAGCGATACTGTGGTAAAATTTTTATTGAGAAAGAGCGTAAATAGAAATTGCTCAAAAAGCTCGTATAAGAAGTATTTAACGATCTGCACATGTTAACTAGAAATAACCTATTCCATTTAGCTTGATCGCTGTTGATAGACTACTTAATACAACCTAAATTACAACAAATTTTACCATGTCAGTATCATAGCGCTTGAAGTAGTAAGCTAATCATATTAGAAATCCTATACTTTAATAAAATTGTACAGAATGGGAATGGTTGGGCTACTCATTCAGTGTTTTCAAAGTAAATAATGTTACCGGTATTTTACGGCTGATTGCAAGGAAATGACTAAATGTAACTATAGTGCTGAAAGTAATCTATACATTCTAATTTATCCCATAGTATCTAAATTTCTATCCTTTGGTTTCTTACCTATGAGAAGATATGCATAACTGATACCCAATAAGTATAAATAATTTAGCGATAGAATTTCATGCTTTAAGTCTTATGCATATACAGCTATTCTGAATCACTAAGTACATATGGTAATAATAATTTAATTTTGAGAGATTCTACCTGATAGTACCGTAATCCTGAAATAGCAAAAATTGTAGCTGGATGGATCATGTCAATATAACATGTTCAATAGGCTATCATTCGTAATATGTAGTATTGTAACATAGCATACAGCACATGACACTTACTTTCCACGAGAGTCCATATAGCCATTGATACATTTGACCATAAAGGCTACACTGATTGGGATGCTGATAATAATTGTCAGCATCTGCATATAGGGAACATACCAATCAATTGGCTCGCGCACCAGGCATTTATTAATATCAACCACAAATTCTATATCATCTTCATTGCAGCATGAATAGATGACAGTAGTAGGATTAGCACCAATTTCTGCAGAATAATTCCTTCTGCAGATAGTACCACAAATTGACTTCGGAGGGCATAGACTTGGCAATCGAATAAATTTGGTTAAAGCAGTAAATATCAAATGGCGTCTACATTGTAATGGCAGCGCATTATAGCAGCCTGGTTTTGTCTCGTTGAGGTTGATGGTGAAATTTTGCGTAAATACCGAGGGTAGACCTAATGTTGAACTCATATAGTTGCTTGATAAGGAGAAAATAGACTTGCCATCCCCTTTTCGAACCCATGCATAGATGATATTTTTCGATTTATTGTAAAGATTTTCGCGCCCGTTATATAAATCAAAGTAGATTACTCGTGATGCCTTATGGGCAATGACTCGAATAAATTTTCGGTATGTTCTGAGCTCATTTGCGACTTTTAGTTGGCACTCACTGAAGCATTTGGTAATGTTGACGTCGGTCGATGAAACTTGATGAACGATTGAAATCATCCAAATTAGACTTATCCACTTGGCAACGAAAGTGCCAGATACCAGAGCCATAGTAGGTAAAGTTTATAATAATCGTTTCGTGAGGGAAAGTATAGTTGCCAAAGATGGACTTTTTAACTGCGTAAAAAAGTATCTACGGTGTATTTTATTGACCACAGTCACAAAATTTCTCTATTCTTTAATCCGCGATTTCCTATCACTAATTAATGATTCCTAGTGAATCATTACTCTTAAATATTACGTTACCATATCAGAATTAGATATTAGGTAATTAAGATGTCTGTCCTAGGTACGTTAGTTACGGCAGTAATCAAGTTGTGATATTTTGTCATTCAAATCATTCCTTTGGCTAATAAAATGAGCCAAAGGCTCCTTTTTAATTTTTAGCGCTGATAATGGTTCATATCTAGCTGGCTAGTTACCCTATAAATTATAAGTAAATCCATAACGAAATATTTATGTCCGTTCTATCGAGGCAAATACAGTTCAAGAAACTATAATTATTCTCGCACAATTTACAGAGTAACAGTGAATCATCATTTTTATGATGATATAGTAGGAGAAAGCGGCAAGTTTCAAATACGGATTCTATCTCCGGAACAGATGATAGCATTATAAGATCAGCATTCATATTCTAAATAACCGGTTTTACTGTTACTTATCTGTGTTTTTAATTGCTTCTTGGTAGATTACCGTACAGTATGTTGTTGTTTGCTCAAATTTTGCTTTGGAAAGATTGGATTTATTAGGGACGTGCGATTATAGTTATAATATATTCTGATTAAGTTGCTGTAAATAAGATAATAAACTACCGCTGATTCCCGTGTAAACAACAATAAAGTCTCATCCCATATAAAATTTTATTTTGATTGTGCTTGCAGACTATATGGCAACTTTATAATTTAGAAATTTGTTCTACAACTCAATAGAATTTTATCCTTTTTCAAAATAAGATTCTGTCTTGAAACAACGGAATGCTACATGAAAAACATATTTTCAGAGTTACTAACTTTGCTTTCTAGACTTGATATTTTTCCCCCAGTTATAGACTGAAAAATTTAGGCGCAAAGCAGAGAAAATTAATTTATTATTACTCTTGATAACTTGGCAATTTGACAAATTGAGTTCTTCTGATAAAAAATTATTTTATAATTGATTGAAGGCATATTTCTACAATAACTATTATAACTATTGCCAGCCCTTTAGCAGGGTATTGTTAATTCTTGATTAATACACAGTAGAGATTTATTCTCGATAATTAAGGTAGCGGAAAATTGAATCCCAATTAGGATTCATAACTAGATCATCTCGTATGTTGGTATAGACAATTGCAATATTCTCTTCACCAGTACGAATAGGCTAGTATTTTTTTGACGCTATATCTTATGATCTTATGATTGATAGCATAAAATTTGTCAATCAGGATATTTATTATCTGACAGACATATTATTATTTTTTAATTATCTATGGTCATTCTCTATGGTTCATTAGGTGCAGATATCAAGCCTACTATCATCATGAAAATAAGAGTTTAGTGGTAAAAATATTCCTTCAAATCGGACGTGCCGTACATGTCTGTCTTGTACACCAAGTACTCTAATGTTAATTATCTGGGCCGCTAGTATGTCATAATGCGTAGCTTTTTATATTATCGAGTAAGATATTTTATCTCCTCTAGGCCTAGCACTGCTCGATATTGTTCTGCATTTCCAGAAAGTTAATTATTATCAATTACCTTTAAGTTGGCTTTCAGTTATTAATAAATCACCAGGTGGGAGATTTAAGATTGATTATAATCATGTATTCTATATTTTCGTAGAACTATTTAAACAAATTATAATTATTGATATCCCTAATGAAGGATTTTTTATCACGTTAAATCTGATAGAATCAATAGTATTCTTGTATTTAAATTTACTCTAATTGTCGCAAAACGAACATCTATCCAAACCTTACGCTATATTTATATAAAGCAGCTACAAAATATGATGTCGACTTTCCTTAGAATTACGAAAATAAAATCTGTTCATCGTATATAATGATAGTTAACGCTGATGTAATGGCTTACACCAGTATTAATGATCAAGATTTAGATAAGGTTCTTTATGTAGTTCAATTGCCTTAAATTAGCTATTTTTCCTTGTGTATTCCTTCATTAAATAGACAATATATAAGGCTAGTGAAGGCTAAGATAATGAACCTAGGAAGGTTAAGGAATTTTGGTTGGTTTTGGTCTTATTACTTGCTGATAACATATTCGGTTTGGGTTAATTTATGGCTCTGTTATTCGTTGGTAGCTTCTAGCTTTTCTACCTGAATAGACTGGTTAAGTTGGCAGATTTACAAGTATTATCATAAATTTCTATAACTCAATATACATTAATTAACCTATGAATTGGCTTGGAACTAATCTAAATTTTATATAAATTAGTAAATTAAGCTTCGAATTAGCGTGTGGTATGTGTTATCATTAATTTCTATCACTCAACACGAATTTATCAATAAATAAACTAATCTAAATTTTATAGAAAATGTGTTACAATAAGCTTTGAATTAGAGAGCGATATCATTAATTTATTATACAAGCTTACAAAAAGCCTGGGCCAACATCAACGGGATATTTACGCGAGGAAGAAATATAGGAAGATACAAATTAAAGGGCTTTAATTTTAGATCGATGTATGATAAATAAATTTAGTCTTAGAAACAGTACAGTACTTTTTTAGGTAAGTTATCCAAATCTCACGCAATCGTTACAGAAGTAAACATAAATTAATTTAAATATCGCATCCGCTTTTCTGAATATTAAGAAGTATAAACACGTACGTTAAAATCAAGTTTACTGAGCTGAATATCTTATGAAGTAAATCAGGCTTGATTATTTATAAATAATCATCAATTTGATTATTAAAATACCTAGAAAAATTCGTAAAACAAGCATCGAAAAGTTATTTCTGTAAGCTTCGCTTCTATTATATAACGAAGGAAGGAAGGATAGACACGCCGATATTTCCCATATTAGCTACTACTGTACTATTATTAAAATATCCTAACGGTAAGCAAACACCGTAGCAGAAGCCCACATACACTAATAATAAAAATTAAAATTAATATAAAAATGAATGCAAACATAATAAATTGCACAGGATTACTTTACCAGATAAATAAATTTATTTTATTTTTAGCTACACCTCTGGACAAGTTTTATAAACACAAAATTATCTGAAAATAATTTGCACAAACACGAATCGAAATTTATCTGTATGAATTTAGATATATCTGTGTAAACGAAAGTATATCTAAAAATTAAAATATTCATTGCTGGCAAGTATAGAACATGAATTTCACGAATAAAATTAGAAAGTTATGAAACAAGCAGCACCGGTTCTAGCTGTCATTTAATATATGATACTCGGCATAGTATACAGAAAGATAGCATGAAATGAACAACACAATTATATTTGCTTCGACATGCAAGTGCATCCTGAATAAATTATTCATACAACTTTTTAGCCTATTAAAAGAGATCCATAGATTTAAGCCTATGTGTATACATCTTAGTGTTTAGGTAGCAATTAATTATTCTTTAAAATTATTTCGTTGTTAAACTTCTATCTGATCTATATAAACATCGATACTATTGTAAAGCCTGCCTCTTATTTATTAATTAATGGGTAGTGTTCTATTAGAAATGGAGCTTTGTAATTATCATTGTAGTACTGTAATAAACATAACGGGTGAATACGAATGA